AAACGTAAGAAACTTACTACAAGTATTATAAATAACTTATTTAAGTTGAGCCAAATTACTAAGAATTACGCTAGGTTTTTAACCAATCTAAAAAAGAAACATTTCAATTTTCACTTGGCTAGTATCATTATTTGAAATTATGACGCGATAAACATGGCGAGAAAAGGGATGGAGGGTTAATCTTGAAAAAGCAAGGAGATCTTCCAATCTCCAATTAGTACTTTGTCATTACTTATCGGTAGGAACGCATGTTCGGTGTTGGTCCCATCGCGGCCGTTATCGTGGCCGAAAAAGTGTCCCGAGGCTGGTCTCCAATTTCGATCGAGTTATCCACGACCGTCGATCTCCCATATTTACGCACCGGCGATCTGTCCAAGATTCAGGATTCTCGGCGTCGGCTTATCACGAGACCAACGAAACTCCAGCGAGTTGGCGAGGGGAATACGCGAGTAAATCCAACGGAGGCGCATAAAGACGCGACGAAATACGAGCGAGAATGCTCAGTGCCGATACCTCGTCGAAGTAGAGGGATGTAAAGAAGAAGGAGAAGAAGAACGGTGAAGAAAAATGAAAAGGACGAGAGATAAAAAAGAGAAAGAGAAGAAGAAGAAGAAGACGAAGCAAGAGGAAGAAGCTATCCAGCGTATAAGGAAAGGGACAAGTAGAAAGAAAAACAAAAAAGAAAGGAGAAGAAGAAGAGGAAGAAGGAGAAGGAAGAGACAGTGCAGCGAGGGAGAGATCTACTGCAAGGGCGCGGCGAGGGTTCCAAGATGGAAAAGAAGGAAGAAAAGAGGTGTGGCACGAACCTCTCTCCGGCATTGTCCGCCTGTACAGCTTGCGCACGCCGGGACTGGTCCACGCACCATCCGAATCTATCTACATACGGCATACCATACGCACTCACGCATAAGAAAAGAAGTATATGTATCTCCTCCAGGCTGCCCTGGTACTGGTACGCGCGTGCTCTTTAACCGTGTGTTGGTTTGTTAAATCGTACCTATGGCCACGTTCCTATATCACGGTACCCGGGTAGATGTGTACGACTAAATGTGTATGAGCAAACGTGCGTGTAAAAGGGAGGACGCGTGTGAGTACCGTGGTTAACTCGACGACCGCAACACAGCCGCACGACAGACCCGACCGGTATTCAAAGTCAGAGCTCGCGGGAGGGACAAGAGGGAGAAGAAAATGGGCAAGGAGCAAAGGAGAAAGAAGATCGGCAAGAGAGGGAGTAGGCACGAGCCTAACTGCAACCAGCATCCCACGCGCTTGGACCAACATTTAGCAGACTCTTTCTCTTTCCTTCGCCGTTTCTCTCCCTCTCTTCCTCTTCCTCTTCCTTTTAGGATTCTGCCTCGGCCGAGCTGTTGCGTTCGCCTTTCTTTCTTCATCGTGTTGCTCGATCTGTCTCCGTTGGACGCGCGTACATGACGAAACATACGTACACGGTCGACCATTAGACGCGAGTACGCTGCTTAAGATTGGTCTCTTCTCTTCTCTTCTCTTCTCTTCTCTTCGTTGAACGTATCTCACGGTCCCTTTCTTTCTTTGTCTTTCTTCTTCCTCGACTCGTTTCTCCTCTGCTCGATCTCTTCGTCGATGGTCGAAGCGCGCCACGAGAGAATGATTCCTCTTGGTCGTAAAGAGTGGCAGCGTTTCCGAGACGAAAGGCTGGTAAAGATAGTCGAAAATTCGTGTCGAGATTACGTGTTTCAGACCGTTAAGCGACCCGGTGCACGTGGACCGATCTATCCAAGCACGCGCTCCGTATGCGTGAACAGAATGAAATTAGATACGAGCCGGCTATTAACTAAGTCGTATCGATGGCTTGAGGTTGGATCGCTTAATCGACAATTCCCGCCCGAGTCGTAATTATTACTTATTCCGTGCTGACACTTTGAATCGGCGTTTCCCTTCACTCATCTCGTAATTCCAAACTGGCTAACTCCACCCTTTGCGGATCTTCTTCCTCATCTTCGTTACATAAATACGTAAATGATAAATTTTCGATTTTCGATGAGTTAATTTACCAGAGAAAAAAAGAAATGGTAAATCTCGCGATGAATTTAAAGAATAACTCAGTATTTCTTGATGATCATTGGCTTGTGTTTTTCTTCTAATTTAATTCAATTTTTCTGCAGATGTCATCATTGCGGAGGTTCGAAAATCGTTCGGTCATGGTTGGGCGCATGATACGTGCACAGTGGAACCCTCGACGGTGTCGTTCTCGTCACGAAGCGTTCCATTGACCCTGCTAATTGTTCCGGAGGTCGCGAGAGGCAAGAAAGTCGAAAATTTCGAGACAGTATCCACGCATACCGTAGCACTCGCCATTTGTAAAGCTAGCTGGTACGAGGATGTCCGCTATATAACGTCGAGAAAATTAATGGTCGTCGTTATTCGACTCGTTCTCGGGCCTCGGCTAAGATACGGGGATCAATGGCGGAACAACGAAGCTGTAACGTACTTGGCTTAGAGAGGTGAGCTCCGTCTCGAATTTTATTTTACTTTTTTTTTTTTTCTTTTTCTCCAGAGTGATGTATTACGCGTGGCACTGGACAGCTCGCGTTGACGTATCGGTGACAAGATGTTGGAATAACCACGGCGACTCGTTCGTCGACGATGTACGTTTCAGAACGTACAGAGGAGAAGGAGCTTCTTGTTTGTAAGGACATCGTTCTATGGCCATTCATCCAGCGAGGATTCACGCGTTATATCTGTCCCGGTCAATTGATACTCCGGAAACTGTCTTTCTAGAAAAACCATTCCAAACCATCGCGACGCATTGTGCTGAAAATAGAGCTGCGTTAAGAAGAGAGACAAAGCAACGCTCGAATCTAATTTCTACCTGACTGCCTGATTTTTTGATTTATTGATTTTTAAATCTAAAAATTTATAATGAACAAATATCCCGGCAACAGCGAATGTCTTAAACGATGATGCAAGTTCAGATCGTGAGACTTTCATACAAAACATTCCACATGTTTTTATATATAATGTATCTGCGAGAAAACTCAGATTTAATACTCAATCTTTCGACGAACGTCAAAACGTATGTCTCACTTTCCCACACGACGACTGGTGGAAGCGCAGTTTCGTGAAAGAGGATCCAGAGTGTAAATCACGGTCGATCGTCTCTCTCTCTCTTTCTTGTAAGATCGCTTTCCCGTATGCTCGAAACACGAGGAGGATTACGATTTCGATCGGTATGACGACGACGACGAAACGAAAGGGTTACATCGACGAACCCCGACGAGAATTTTGTCGACGGAGACGATCGACGAGAGAACGACCCCGTTCTCGTGTTGTCTCCGAAAAAAAGAGAGCTTGTCGTGACCCGACGCGATAAGGAGACCAGAGAAACGAAGAGGTAGAGGAGGATATAATGGCCAGAACGAAATCGTATTAGGGCACCGAGGGAACGTTCGCCTCGGTTTTTATCGAGCCGGATACACCTCGTTTTCTGTCTGTTGATTACACCACTACAAGGCCACGCGTACGTGACGCCCAGGCTGGAAAATTAGGTAGGCACGAATTTTTAGTGCGGCCACCCTGCACGCCTAGGGTGATTTACAGCTGTCCCGGTAAAGTTATTGTTGGAAGAGTGTCTAGTAGGTTGTTCTAAGGGGAAAGTCTTTCCGAATGGGATACTTATGAAGTGCTCGACTCTCTTTCTTTTTCTTTTTTTTTTTTTTTTTTAAACCACCGTTCAGGTAGGTATTTCGAAGATTTATGTTAATTCTGGAGAATCTTATAACCCCCGAGCGTTTCGGTGTTATATTCGAGAAGTGAGAATTGAATGCCGTGTTTGGTAGGGCTTTGGAAGATTTAACACTTAACATCTTTGACAGTGTGGTAAAACGATTTAAAGATATTTGGTTATAGTATATGTTTATCACCTAGATTTCCTGCATTTTTGGTATCAGATATAAAATATATATTTTACCATAGATCTATAAACCTTCTGTTGCGTTACGTGTGAAGTCAAATTTATAGTGTTACTGAAATTTATATTTATATGTACGCTACACTGTGAAAGAGTTAAAGATTTATCAAGAAGGATCTCTGTTACGATCGTTAAGTTTTTCCACGAGATCGGTCGTATGAAAAATCGATTAAAACGGGATGGACAACCCGTGTGAAATGGCCGACACATTTCGCATTCTCAGAAGACGTTAAGAAGTCGATTATCGTAGGCACAAGGTCGATGGCGGTTACGTCAGATGAAAGATATCAATTAAGCAGTTTATTGCGCGTGTCCATCGAAAACCAGAGCGTCGTGACTTTGATAATAACCCAGATGTCTGGATTTTAGTGTACGATTAATCAAAGCCACTCCTTTGCTTAGTTACCATGTACATTTAATCTTTCCTAATCGGTCACATCTCGATATAATTGAACTACTACGATACGACATTTGACTACGTTTCATAACGCCAGAATTGATCCAAAATTAATTTGACATCACCATCGCCAATGTTTGGAATATTCGATTTCTTCCAGCAAACCATAAAGCTGAAAGAAGTTGGACGAGTCGTGATATCAGTGAAACGAAACCGGTGTGAAAAAATCGACAAGCCTCCGGCTGTCGTTCCAGACGGAGAGACGTCGATGCCAATAAAGGAAATGCAGGGACCATTAGCAGAACACGATTAAACGGAATATGTAATGGCTTAATACGCGCTACATTAAACTCGTATGGCCGTATCCCGCAAGAGGTAGTTCAGTTGGATTCCACTGCGGTCGGTCAACGTGGTTTCAACCGTCTCAATGAACCAGCAGTGAATTAAAACGTTGATTCGCCGTATATACGACTGACCATGGAATTCGTTACCTCGAGAACGACTGCCCTCTCGACTTGACCATTCATGGACGCCTCGGTTCGAGCGCACGCATCGATACCTTTGAACTTGCACGTACCTCATTTATCGTCGTTTGTAGAACCGACCGATGAATTCCTCTTGTTATCCTACTTCTATCGATTGTATCGTTTCAGAGTTCGAAGACCAGTGGTGAAGCGATGGGATCAAGTTCAATACGTGGTTATAAATTCGAATGAGATACTCGAAGTGTGGCAACGAGACACAACGAACAGAGTTTCGGCCAGAATATTCAAAGAAAACAGTAGGTGAAAAGTATGTTAACGAAAAACAGGTAGTAATACTGAAATAGTAAATATACATACAAACTGCAAGAGCTTATTCCAGGGGCCAAAAGAAGAAAAAAATGTTACATGAAGTTTGCGAATTAACGCTTTATTACAGAGATATAATCAAAAATAGATACTTGGTATTTTACTGAGTTTCAGTATTTCAGCCACTGCTTTCCTTTGCACGAGCCTGTTTCATAATTGGAAATGAGTGTTGATCTTATACCGCTCGACTTTTATCTATGGAATATTTTGAAACAAAAGGTTTACTCGAAGAACTTCATATGAAGATCTTGTGCAGCGTAATAAAAATACAGTTATTGAAATGTAACAAGATACTGTATAAATTTAGTTTTTCATCGATGTTTCAAGCTTGTATCCGAGCAGAAGGACATCATTTTGAAATGAGACTTTAAAAATCGTGAGTAACTATTTATCATTATTTGTTTATATCTCCTTAACAAAGCGTTAATTCGCAAACTTCATAGAACATTTTTGTCTTCTTTTGGCCCCTAGAATAAGCTCTCGCAGTTTGGCGGGAGAAACCCGGGACACCCTGTATACATATACTTATGGCAGTTTTTAATATAAAGTTTAAATTTAATTCATATCTTTTAGTCAAATTCAACCATTGTTTCTACAAATTGGCCAAAGTATCCGAACAGTTACAAATGTCAGTGTACATACTAGTGAACGTGTTCGTGGAATGTGCTGTGTTGAACGATTTCTATCTCAGTGATACGCATCCTTCCACTTGTATCACACGTAAGTACATTCTTGATTTCCCTCGCTCAGGCCTATAAGATCAAAAGCATGTAAGCTTAATTATACGAATTGTTCCCTTTCGTGTAGAAGAAAAAGATGAAAGAGAAATCCATGGCTGTTACGTCGGACGGAGTTCAAAGGAAGCTAGAAGGAATTGGAAAGGGCCAAGTGGCGAGGCACGCGTCTGGGCGTTCCAGACGGTAGCTACATCACTGAGTGTTCCAACGTGCACGGGAGCAAAGGAACATCGCCGGTAGTAGCAGGCCGGTCTGAATTGAGCAATTTTCTCCAGGCGATATCCGTCACAATATGCTTGATACGTGAATAGGATCCCGGTCCCGGAGCCGCTCACAAATCAATCTTACCACCGTTGAACGTTGCACCGCTTTGTTGTCAATCGCGAAACGTTCAGAATGTCGCGTTCATTGCGGCCAGACAGTGGTGGTTGCTGTTTGCAGTCGGCTAGTTCGTTTCGCCCCGGTCGTTCTTGCACCGAGAACGCGCACGTGCGGTCCGAACAATAAACGATCGCCTTTCTAAGGTCGCACGGTGCACTGTTAGCCGGTACTTTTCTGTCTTCGCTACGGATCTACATAATAGGGGTGTAACGCTTGCGTTAGATCAAGTTATTATTGGTAGTGCGCTGCTGCGTTTCCAGACCGATCGTGAACACGAAAATGACATTTGAAAACTCACCTATGGCGATTATTAAAGTGGACGGCCTCCGTTAACCGTGTATCTATCAAACCATGCTTTTGTACCATAATTTTTTCTTTTCTTTCTTTTTCTTCACAACACGGTTACACAGTCTTTATCGAGGCATTAACCGAGCAATTCATAAAACTGATCATCCAGCCCGATCGGATATACGAGGACGAAAGGGTAAAGTGGCGAGAGCCGTGGAATTTGCGCGGAGGAAATGCCTTGTAATAAAACGTGACACGGTCTACGTCCCAGAGAACGCTTCAGGAAATTCGCGCCGCTCGACACGTCGAGAGAAGAATAGAGTGAATAACTGGCAAACCGCGTAGAACGTTATCCAACTTACGGCGAGTGTGGAATCTGTCAAGCAAGTTTACGATATGCCGCATGATTCGTGGCAAAAATATTCAATTTTGAGTCTCAATTGTTGATCTTGCCATGCTCGTCGAATCCTTTTTCGATTTTGTCACGACAAACGAAAAGATCTTCAATGTTTGCAAATTACATTCATTCGTTATCTATGTTTCTTTTCTTTTTTTATTTTAGTATCAAGAGTTGTCCTCGAAACGATCAGGCGGTCAACGCCAAATAACAAACGGGTAGAATTAACGGAGCTATAAAGTTACGAGGCGTAGAAGGCAGACGAGCGCCGGTGCAACGGATGTAATTGAGAAAACAGACGATTCCCATGGAGAGAGAGGAGACCTCGGCAAAACGAACAGCGAGGCGATTAGAATTACAGGCTTAATCCTGAACGATCTGCAAGCCTGTCGCCGAATACGGTAGGAGGTGAATAAGACGGGTATACACATTCGTCACTCAGCAAGCGTCCCGCGGTATAAGTCGTAGGCCCGACCCTCTCAGTCCCTCCCAAGTCGGTCTCCCTTCCCGGACTTCGGTTCGAGCACGGAAGCCCAAATAAGGGGAAATGTACGGCGAATTAAGGTTCCCCTCCTCTTCTGTTTCGCCTCACTAGAGGCGCCGGCTTCAGCCTCGGTCACGTGGCGCCCGACACAACCGACGGAAATTGATCTTCCCGATAGGAGGAAATTAAGGACAACAATTGGCCGGCTCGTAATTATCCCCGTCGATATTACAATGAACTTTGTTAAAAGATAGGTATTCGATGCTTGCATCTTCTGCTGAAAAGATCACCCGTGCGATAGATAAATAAATGTACATGATATGTAAGTAAAATACTTACATATGTTAAATATATTAAATGTATAAGTAGATGCATTATACAAGTGCAGTACATGAGTAAATGCATTATATACACGATTTTTAAGTATACGTACGTACCGCGTGATTCAGAATCAAATTGGCCGGTGAATCGATCGGATGATTGGTGGACAATCGAAGAAAAATCGATGGCGCGAGATCGAGGGGAGAAAAAAAAAAAAAAAAAAAGTCAGCGCCCACGCCTGGAAGCGATCGGTCGAAGATCTCTGGCGATCTCTCGAAACGGCGTCCTCTCGAACGCTTCTCGATGGGAGGAGCTGGTCGGTCGCGGATTTTAATGGCGGATTTTTGCGACTCGCCAATCGCACACGACACAAGACACCGTCCTCCGTTTCTCCGCTCCGTGATTCAACGATTCGACGATTTCACCGCGAAGAGAGGAGAGATATACATCGTGGCGAGTTACGTGATTTGATTTGAGGAGAGCTTCTCGAAGCGAGCGCGCGTGGGACACGCGCTCTGCCTTGTCGCGTGCCTCGCCACGTTCGCGCTGGTTCTCAACTTGCATCTCGATACTCGATACGAGTTCGATTAGTCGCCAACTTTCGCGCCATTATTATGGCCGTTTCGTTGTTGCACGTGTTTTGGCACGAGGATTACAGAGGAAAATTACGACAGGTATAATTTCGTTAATTCTCTGGTTTTGAACATTAGTTAATGGCTATAAAATGTGACGTAAGAGTCAAAAGAGCAGATTTTATAAAATAACAGCTTTGGTAACATATGATCGATTGGCAATATGTTGTTTATTTTGTGAGGTAAGTTGAATGGAAAGTAAAAATTCTCATGTAATTATTATATTGTACACTCCGGTGGAAAATTAATCAACCACACGTTTAAGAGTTATAATTTTATAGAGCTATATATTTTATAGAGCTATTAAGTATCCCTGGATAAATGCAGGAAATTGATGAATGGTTAGAATCGCCCAATGGCGTAACCTATTTTATAGGTTATGAGTCGGTGTGTACATTTGAAAAAGCGCAATGTTCTAACGGAACATAAACCCGCGGGAGATTTTCTACGGGGTTTGGCGTGTAATACGAGAGCCCTCGTATCGTTTCGACACTCGAATGATATCATCGCCCGCAGGAGCGGATTCAGTCATTTGTGGCAAGTCGCGTTCATCTCCTTCGTGGACGCGGCAAGTGCTTGTGAGGTACAACTTGCAAATCATCTAATGTTATGACATTTGAAAGTAATCGAAGTACATTACCTCGTAACGTGAAGCGTGTTTCTCTCCGTGTCGCTTTCGGTCTATAAAGTTAAGGTTGAAAGAATGATTTCGTAATGATACAATCGCTTACGTTTTCATTGAAACTGAAAATTACACGTGATTCTAAAATAAATGCCATTCGAGAAAAGAAAGAAATCCTTGAATTACAACAACCGGTATATTTACTATTTAACCTTTACTTCCTTGAACTCGAAATGTCAAATACATTGACGCGATTTTTCCCTACGAATATTTAATTTACGAAATTATTGTTATTAATTAAAGTATTAATCTTTTCGGATGGGTATTGTGTACGAGTATTTGAAATATGAAGATGACTCACAATTGCCAGCCAATTAACAGCTTTCTTGACTCGCGAGAAATTCATTTCATTTCATTCTAGGAAAGAATGTATCACACTTCAACGAATCTACAATGAGATTCTATAATGTAACTTTATCAATGAATCATTAAAAACTAATTTCAAACGGATAGTATGAAATTATGAAATGCAAATGTACAGTAATAAATTGGCAAATGGTTGACCGATAGTTCTTAATCAATGCAAACAGGTAATCTCAAACTTTTATCTCGTAAATCCGGTTTTTATTTTTTATTCTTTAATCGTATAAAAGGAAAACGTGAAACATTTTTTCAGTGAAAATATACCACCTTCAATATATTGAAAGAAAATTTGGATCACGCCAGGCAATTGTTCAGTGATATCCAGGTTATAAAGTAGCTCTGTGGAACGTGTAGAAACTAATGGCGTAGGAATCGAGATAGCATAGGTACTTGGATGCCTACCGTCGGAGAACAAGGAGAAAGGTACGCGGATAAATTGCCTATGCCGTTTACTGGCGAGTCGGGCCTGAGAACAGCCTAATTACCGCGTTTACGCACTGTGTAACATGCACGAAGTATCGTTCGATCACCGTGGACAAATTGGACATGCGTGATGTTTTCATTTTCATGAAACAACGCAAAAACGAATCGGATTCATTCGTTTCGAATTTTAAAATACCGGAGAGATGAAGTGAAAATTGAAAAGTTTGAAGGTTTAGAGTTCTCAGTGTTCGAGACTTGAAGCCGTCAAAGATTTTTTGCAGGGATGTGAAACGTTTCGTTGAAGTCTCGTGCAACGACGTAACATTCCGAGTATTCTGAAAATGTAAATGCAACAATTGAGACACGGGCTAACAATTGAGTCCAATTTGTACGAGTCGTTCGCTGATGATGTTGACCACGTAGACGCGTTGGACGCGCACGGAATTTTGCAAGATCTTGAATTAATATAGGTTAGTGATGCGTAATTAGAGGCCGACCGATCGTTCGTGGCTACGCTGTGCGGTGTAATGCCGTAAATTATATTCAAGATATCTTAACTGGCACGTTAACTGACCGCGTAACGTTTCGATTTACTTATCAGGAAGCGATTAACGACGTGGTACACAAATACTCGCGATCACGAAAGCGAGTGCGTAAAAACATTGAAAGGAAAATTTGCATGATCTTTCCCTATGATATATTCCCATCTAATTCGCCGTTTCAGAGAGAAATACAAATTAAATAAAAATACAAGATCCCGTTGCGAAATCAAAAATATAAAAGAAACTTTTTGAACACGCAGAAGACTAAGCTTTCTTTATTTTGAAGGAGCTAATTTAGTTGCTTTTTATCACAAAGGTGATCAGCAATATATTATTTACAAAAAAAGAGCTACGTTTGTAAAATGGTAGCAAATTTTATCAAACCTAGAAAAAAAAAAAAAGATTTAAATTGTAGGTTTATTAGAAACTCGAAGCCCAATATGGGAATTGTTGGAGAAAATTGTTCGTCGAATTTTCCCGATCCAAACAGCTATGCGTAAATGTCGAGTACGAAAGAGCATAACAGCTTTCGGAATCCGAATGATGGGACGGAATTTCGAATGCTTGGCGCCAGATAGAATGAATTCGAAGTGATTTCGAAACATTTCGTCGTAAACGTCGTCTCGTTCACGCCACTACCGTTCGACACTCCCAGTTTCTAATCTCGTTTAATCTTCGAAGATCTACTTGTATGCATGCATGCTCAATCCAGGTGAAACAAATCAATTCGTCTTGCGTAGCTGGCGAACGTGACACAGGAACGTGATGAGGATGGGTTACGCGTTACACATAACTTTTTGCGTCAGTTAAGCATTTTGTGCGTTTACAGTCACCGCGATGATGGATGAAGAAACAGATTTATGCTTTGATCGTTTGTTCTTCCTGCATATAATCGTCGTACATTTGTATTTGTATGCGTGTCATATGATATATTGGTAGAAACTCTGCTTGAGAAATTACTGAAAAAAATAAAGACTTAATGCTGCGCATAACGGTAGCTTAGTTCAATTGACACTGTCAAGGTGTTCCCTCATGTTTCTGGGGAAAGTATCGGCACGCTCCGTATGAAATGGCTGTAAAATCATTCAGAATTTAGTAACTTGAGGTGCTTAATAAATTGTAATTGAAGGCTATAAAGACAAATCATGATAACCTACATATTCCATTTTATCTGTAGAACTATTTTAAAATTCAATAGAGTGTCAGCTAATTGCTAGAACATGTTACTAAAACACGTTCTCTGTTTATCGGAATTTGAAGCTAAATATACGATTCTGACATTTTCCTTAGAATTTCAAAAATGTAGGTTGATTGTTTCAATCACCGACTGTTGTTATTTATTTTGTTACACAGTCAGATAGAACAAGTTTTTCTTGGCAATGTCGTTTCATTCCGTACGTCAGCTACGATTGCGTTCGATAAAGCAGAAATTTGCGTGAACTGTGGGTGGTTTCGGGTGTTGCAGAAATAGCGAGCTGCCGCTAAAATACCGGTTTACCCTTATTGTCATCCCACCGTGGAATTATACCCCCACGTGCGCGATTCGTCTCACCGGCGGCGGCCGTTTTACCATTAATTATTATCCGTTGCGATACGTCCGGTCATTACGGTTATAAAGCGGATCGCAACGAAATACATAATAGATCGACGCGCGCGATGTGACACGGGCCTACGTTAACGATCCTGGCCAGGTTGCGTTAACTGAAACCTGCGTTGAGCTCAACCTCGAGGTGTCGTGTCGTGTCGTGTCGTTTCGAGATTTCCACGCTTTTCAACCGACATGCCAAGAACAAAAGGAATCTCTCCAGCGAATCAAACGTAAGCGGCGCGCGTTAATTTTTCACCGAGCCTAACGATACTGAGAAACTGGCCACGTGGTCTCGTAGTCTCGAGACCGAAGATTTATCGTGCATTTCGCGTGTGCAACAGGCCGGGGATATTTTTAGGCGTAAATCCGGAACGCATAACGTTATTACAATCGGCTATCTCGGTGTGCGAGCGAGTACGTAGGGTATTCTATTCCGCATTATCCAAAGCCATTGTTCTTGAGCGGCAATCGGGCATCGTGGGATCAGCGAATCATCCGTTCGCCGATGATTTCTCTCCACGGAAGTACACGATCGACGTTGTATCGGTATTTTTGTCAGGGGGGCCTCTTTATTCGACTAGTTTGGTCAGACTATTACGTGGCAGACAACATTACTCGGCGTTGGAACGGCGAAAGAAAAAAAAACGAAAGTTTTCGAAAAGAGCGGCGAGCGTTTTTTGAGAAACGTTGCTGCAGACGATCTGCAAATCGGCAGAACAAGCGTATTTGTGTTGCCTGATCTCGATGTAATTGGACATTAACGAGGATCCCTGATGTAATGCGTTTCACTTCGTTTCATTTATCGGCTGATCGGAGTGCCAGGCTCGTGGTAACATCTAGATTATCCGCGTTAAGTAGTATCTTCGTTTCAAGATTCCACCGCTGTATATAACTCCAGATATTTAGACAACCTAATAAAACACGTACATTTGCACATGCTGTTGCTCGTGAATATCGAGTTTGTTTTCGTCGATTTGCAGTAACAGTACATGAATTTCAGTAAATTGTTTTAATTGATGAAGCAGTAACTGCGTTTTATGACATCTAAACTAGCCCGTCGTTAAATACTTTCCCTATAGAACAAACGTAAAAGTCAGTTCGTACGGTTATTTAGACTGTATTTACGTATCTACAAACATTTATGCGTAATTTCTCATTTCGATTTTATACCCAAGATTTTCTTCAAACACTAAAAATCTCTTCATTTGTAGGATTAAGAAAGAGAAAAGTAGCGGCGTAAGAATATGTCCTATCGACGTTTTGAAATGCCAGGGGAAATAAACCGAAAACTCCAATGAGACGAAGAGCCACAGAGAGAGAGAAACAAAGCCAAAGGTTTAGAGACAAGAGCGTTAGGATCGAGCCACGGCCCATATTCAAAAATCTCGGTTCCAACCGTGTAGGTACTTCTCTTCTCCCTCCTCACTGCTCCGACGTTGCCGCGCTCCGAGTCGCGCTTAACCGAAAACCAGGTGTCTTCCGTGGCCGACGCGCGTACTGTAACTCGTTCTCCACCCACCGGCGGACGGGGCGAGGTAAGCAACGGTCCTGGAACCTGTTCCGAACCGTTTGAGAGTCTCTGCCCTACCTTGTCCCGTCGTCCATCCACCTTCGTCCCCTCTCGCCGCGACGATACCCTTTCCCCCTTACCAACGCCCCTTTTCACCTTACTTTTCTCTCTTTTCCACGCCGGCCATCTCTTTTCTTTCACCGATCTCTTTCCTCGTTGCTCCATCGGGGATTCACGTTCACCAGCCGGCGTAATATCACGCACATCATCGTCACGGCGGTGTGTACGCGTGCTCGGCTGGAACTCGAGGGACGAACGAGCGAACGAAGAGGACGAAACTCGCGCGCAACTTGTTCGTTGGAACAACAGAGAACACGCATCGTCGTGGAAAGCATCGTCGGAGATAGTCTCGAGCGAGAAACATGAAAAAGAGAAGGAGGAACGAACGCGATTCGAGGGAAAAAGAGCGTTCAAGATTCAAGAGAGAAAGAGAGAGAGTGAGAGTAGAAGAGGAGAGGAGAGGAGACGCTGTTTGAAGCGTGCAGGGGAGCACAGCGAGGAGGGGAGAATGCGCTGGCAATCAGGGCGAATGGGGTACGGCACACGCCACACGCCATCATAATGGAATAATGAGGCAAAGACGATAGCAATCGCGCAAAGGCTCCTTTTCCGCGCGACACGTCCGTGTCTTGGCGCGCGTTGATGCGCGCGACCGAGCACGAGCTCTCTGGAACGTCGTGGACGAATTGAGCGAATCAGAGCCACATCCGATGAGGTCACTTCGACTCTCGGCTGCTGCTGCTGCTGCAGCAGCAGGACCGGCGCGGTTCAGACGATCTGTTGCCTTGTCCTGTTTCATACTGTTGATTTTCTCTTTTCTCTTCAAATATGCAAGATATCTGAGAGAGAGAGTTTAGAGTTAGTTGCTTCGTTTCATCGGATCACGGCTGATCGATAACGATCGTTGACGATGAAACGTGAAAAAGGCCAAAGGAAACAAAACGAAGAAACGGAGAAAAGGGAAAATAAAAAACCAGATGATCGAACATTTAGATACGCAGTTCACGTGATACGATGATTTCCGAGTGGATGAAGAGATTTTTAACGACGGTGATAACGAGCAGAGTGAGCGATAACGAGCCGAACGAGAAAGACCACGAGCCTCCACAGGAGAGACCGGTCGCCTCGCGCAGGGAGGTGGAATCTCGAAGGAAGACGACGCGAGGAGAGGTAATGTCAGAAGAAGTAAAGAAGCCGTGGCACGTGACCTCCGAGACCGGCAGAGTCAACTCGCTCAAGTAGCCGGGCTCTGCCCTTTGACCCAACCGACAATTTCGAATTATGTCTCTCCGAGAGAGCGGATATACTCTCGTCAGGGACGATCTTGGGCCGGGAGGTGCCTCCGCTCTTCTGAACGGTGCTCCATTCTCCGAACGACCATCGATCAACTCGAACACGAGACGTTCAAACACCTTCGTCTTTTCTAAATATCGATTCGCATCTCGCTGTGAATGACAAATTTAATAACGAGAGAGGATCGTTATTAAAACGGAACAGTCGACTCGTTTAAGTCGTATGAAAAATTTTAAAAATCGTGCGCTCTTTCTCTGTTTAATTAATCGTACGACCCCTCGACGAGAAGACAATCGTTTTGTAAATTTTATTCAAATTTCAGGACACACACGGAGAGAGTGGAGTCGGTCCATCCCATGTGGAGAATGGCTCGTGCCAGCCAACGGAGAATCCCTGGAGTCCGCGATATGCGCAGTTGTTCTTCCCTGAGGAAGACAAATGATCCACTCGGACGCGAGACAGTTAGCGTATCCGCGGGGAGGCTTGAACGTCGTCGACGGTGAAGAAGAGGATGAAGAGGAAGAAGGAGACGAAAGAGAGGAAGAGGCTTGGTTTCTCTGTCTTCGTTGCTTTCGCGCGTGGAAGATGAGCGCGCGCGCGCGCCTTCGGGCAGGCGGACTCGTTCGCTTGATCCCGTGCCATTACGATATTAATGTAATGCCGCTAAAAAGGTGTGTTTGCTCGGTTAGGTGGCGAGGGAGAGGGGAGCCGAGGCGAGGATCGAGCCCACGTAGGATAGTCTTGCCAGATATGGCGTGTGCCTGTGCCGCGGCCACCACCACGGTTATCGTCGTCGCCACCATCGCCGTCACCGTCATCGTCCTCTTTGCTCGTTCTTCGCGGCGACTCTACACCCGGCTGATCCCTCTGCCGGTTTAAGGAGAACGATTAGACCAGCCGCGAAACGACACCTGAGTCTTCGATTCTTTTCTTTCTTTCTTTTTTTTTTTTTCCTTTTGCCTCGCCCAATTTGGTCCTTGCTCCGTGTGCTTACCAACGCACGCGACTTGTCCAGGGTTTTATCGAGAACGCGTTTCGTATCTCCGGATATATATATATCTATTGTTCTCTCGCTGCAACGGACCTCTCGGATCGAAATAAACGCCGCGAATCTTTCGTTCGTTTAAAAAGTTGTAGGAAACGCCCGAGGGTACACCGGTTAATGGAGAACTCGGCGTACGGAGCGAGCGGGGGGAAAAAGGCTCTACTCGAGTAATCGAAGACCGAGAAATTATAGTGTCAGATATCCGGCGTTGCTCGCCAGTCGTGGAAATCATTATCGTTGGATTTATGATTCTTTAAACGATCGATCAGGTGAGAGACGCGTTGGCTCTCGCCAACAGTATACGTAGTGAAGTACGTCGGGCGTTCTCCGTTTCAGTTTCATCGTGCACGCCGCACGATACGACCGCTGAATTTCCGTCCCGCCTCGGCCGGTGACTGTTCTCTTCCTCCAAGAGTCTTTCGTTCTTTCCTTGTTTCGTTTAGTCACGAGGTCACTCGCGACCTCGTATCTTTATTCGGTCATGGAGCGGCAATGAGAGCGTCTGCCTGCGCGCGTGATATTCACGCCCGTTGATCTCGATTACCGGCGACGCCGACGCCGGTCGTCGCTGAAACGCTCCGAGGGGAAGTTGCAACCCTTTTTAGCTAGAGGGTATACGCACGTCGGCATAGTCGTTTTGACATAATTGCGAAAACTGGACTGACCTGTTTTCGATACCTCTATGCTCGCTGGAGGACATCTTCTGCCGGTTTTATCTTTCGAGCATCGCGTGCAATTCTGCCGCGTTGTAATGATAAAACGTGTCGCGTCGCGGAACGACAGAGCAAAGGAAAAGGATAGAACGAGTGGGAGAGAGATTAAGATCGAATCGTATCGAACCGTAGTTTCAGCTAGCGCGAAGGACGTCATTAACTTTTACAGTTGCAGCTACCACTCGCTCGTAAACGCAGCTCGCCTCGTTACTTAGCAGCTCGCTAAGGATTCCGTGTTTTTCAATTTTAATGGCCACAATTAACGAATAGGAATCGTCGCTTTATGGGAACTTTCGAGAGATATCGCCCCAATTTATCTCGATCTTCTAATTCACATTGAATGGAGCTATTTTTTTGGTCAATATTAGAAATTTGAACGCCACTCGGTCTGTTACGATCCAGTTATTTCTAGCTCTAGTGATCGAAAACCTCGAGGAAGAAAATAAATTATACGTGTGAGAACGGACGGCTCGATGATGTCGACCAAGTAGTCAATCGGTAGCGAAACGTAAAAACGCAGGCTTCGTCGCTCTTCGTGCGAGTATTGCTTTTTGCGGTTTTCTCCTCCCTCCGTTTGGCCCGAAGACAGAGCATCGTGCTGCCTTTCAAATCGTAATACGCGTGACGTGCTTCTGGCACGCGTCGAAACCTGCACTTAACGAACCACTTGTGCCCCTAATATTACGTGCCAGCCAAGCGGATATTTATCCCTACGCGCGTAAAGATAACGCATGCCTTCGGCTCGTGCCCAAATACGCGTGGCTCTTGTTCTCTTATCTAACGTAGAAACTATCAACTGGATAAAATCTTATTACACATATGTATTTACGATAGCATTATCCACACTATCCTTCTTTTCTCCTTATCGAAAATATTTCAATTTGTACTGTGTGCATCGGACAACGCTATGAATACGAATAAAACGTCCGAGGATGAAAATGCACAAGAACCTGTACATACATGACTGCTCTCAAAATGACAGTACGTCGGAACATATGGCATTCACCGTGACCGTAGCCTCATTCGTATCACGGGACAAAGACGGGAGAAATTTAAATATCCAAGCATCTCTTTATTCCGCAAGGATCATGTTGTCGGATCGGAGAGGGTCGAAGAATCGGCGAAGAACTAGTCGGAGGAATCGAAGGGGAGGAACGAAGCGTGAACGACGCGACGCGGGGGCAGCGTGTTTACGGTAAAAGTCATCCAACCCGGGAGAGTATCGACCTCAACCTTTTGCTCGCGCCTCTGCTCGTCCCTCTTTCTCTCTCTCTCTCTCTCCCCCGAACGCTCCAATTTCAAGGTCGCGACGCGTGGCCGCACAGACCGGGCCGAAAATTTCCGCGAGATTCCCCGGACTTCCGGCGTCGAAATCGGACATGTCTGCAACGATACGGGGACAGGGTAGATGGGGTTTTCGAGGCGCGAGAGTGAGCCGAGGAAAGGAGGCGAAGTCGAAGTGTAGTTACCGCGGGACGAGGAGAGGTAAAGCCGAAGAGAAAACGTAGAGAAAAGAGAAAAAGACAAAGACAAAGATGATGAAGAAGAAGAGGAGGAGGAGGAGGAGGAAGAGGAGGAGAAAGAAAGAGGAGAAGACAGAAAAGAAAGAGAGACGCGCTCTTTCTGGCGTGGGGGTGCGCCCACGCCAGTGACGTCACCCGGCGAACGTTGGCAGTGTTACCGGCGATGAACGCGTTGGTGTTCAAACCTCCTCTGCGGGAGGAAAGAAAGAGGAAAGAACCAGCAGAAGGAAAGGAAAAGGAGAGGCATCGTAGCGCGCGCGTCGAGGAAGGGAATCATCGCGCGAGGGAGGCAAGAGGTACCACCACACGCAGGAGGTGGTTAGGTGTACGAGCAGAAGCGAGAGAGAACGCGGGGCAACGCGAAAGGTAAAGGAAGGAAGAGAGAAGCACGCGAGGAGACAAGTCGGAGCGAGATCGTCCCGCTCCGAGTGGAAGAAGAACGGGCAAAGAGGAGAGAGATGAAGGTTGGCGTGCTGTCGCGCGATGAAGAGGGGCGGCGGTGTGGCGGGCGCACGGGCGGGGGAAAGGAATGAATGGAAATCGCGGAGAGACACGCGGGAGAGACGGATGATTCCAAAGGAGCGGCGGAGACGAAGACGGTGCGCGTTGCCGTGTGCGTTTCAAAGAGAAGAGGAGAAAAAAGAAAAAAAAAGAAAAGTGAGAAAGAAACGTCTCTCGGCGTGTAGGAGAGAAGAGAAGAGAAGAGAAGAGAAGTGGTGGCTGTGGTGGCGAGCCGAGGATCGCAGGGCGTCTCGAGGAAGAGCGAAAGAGGAGGGGAGGCTGGCGTATAGAGGTAAGCAGCGTGAACAGTATCGGGAGTATGCACGGGGTGATGTCGACGACACGTGACGCCAGCGAATCTCGTCTCGCCGGTCGCGAGGATCGCCGCCGCCGTCACCGCCACCGCCACCGTCACCGCCACCCGCAGCAACACCACCAGGAGCACCAGCAGCCGCGGCAGCAGCAGCCTCCTCGCGCGCTCTCTCCGCGCGCGCGAGCGCTCTCTCGAGGCGGCCGACCACTTCCCGCGCGAGCCGCTCTTTATTAGTCTACCGCGGACCATCGCGAACCCCTTTGGCTGCCTCGCCGGCTCCAGCATCCACGATCGGCCGATTCTCGACGTCGTTCAGTTTCCGAAAGTCGTCGGGAGGAACTCTGGTTGTCCGTTCTTTCGTCCAGAAGAGGAAGAAGAAGAAAAAAAGAAAAAGAAACGACGAGAGAGAAGTCTCTCGAGGAGAGTCTGCTGCTCCGGTGATCCAGACCGGAAAACGCTTGGCGAGCGAAAGAGACGGGCGGGCGGCGGCAAGCCGGTCGTACGGGAGGAAGGGAGAACCGACTTGTTGTGGAAGAAGAGAAGGAGAAAAGAGGACGAACAGAGCGAGAAAGAGCAGGATCCTTCAGTGATACGATACCGGGCAGCACGCGCGCCGGTACGTTGGTTTATCGGGCGCGAACTACGAGCGAACCTCCGACTTCCAATCAAAGCGCGCGATTTCGAACGCTCCAGTGCCGCAAAGTCGTCTCGCTGCTTCGTACATGGGGGAGGGTGTAGCTTCTGTTGGATTTCCACGAGGACATCGGTTGACGAGTAACGTCGAGTCAATTGGATCTACCACAATATATCGTTGAACTGTCACGAAGTTTGCGAGTTTCGGGCAAAGTTTTCGGACAACGAGCAAACGCACACCGCCGTGGAAAGATTTCTCCCGACACTTTCTTCTTCTGCTGGTTGGCTGGGAGAAATTTGATCCACCAGTGCCGCGCTTTCTACCTGTCGTCCAAGTGGCCAAAGAAATAAACAGAAGAAAAAAAAATACAAAAGATTATCTTTCGATTCGGTCGCCGATCACACCGCCAGCGTAAAAATCTCTTCTTATCCACTGTCGCGGGGAGTGGAAACGCAAACAATCTCGAGCCGTTGCTGTCCGCTGGCCTGTCCATACGCTTCCGCGAGTGTGTCGGTATTCGTCGAATCGACTCGAACGACCGATCGATCAGCGCCGACAGTGGTTTTCGTTGACGTTTCTCTAGCGACGATTTCCTGCGGCCAGTTGTCTCGCTCGTTGTTTCGCTCGCCAGTTGATCGTCCGTCGCGTGCATCGAGACCGACCGGACGCGACGGTGACGCTCGCGTCGTCGGTGACGTCGTGACATGTGCGATAGCCTGGCCTCCTCTTCGTTATCGCGCTCGTGTCTTTCGCCGCTGCTGCCGCCGTCGCCGCCGCCGCTGCTATCGTCCTTGTCCTCGTCCTCGTCGTGGTCATCGTGGTCGACGAGAATAAAGGAACACCGGGTGGTTGGCCAGCTGCTGTGGATAGAAGGCAAGAGGAGCAGGAGCACGTGGACGACTGGCACCGCGACGAGGGCCGGCGGCGCGACAGGTTGAAAAGATGCTGGCACTGGCGATGCGCCGCGAACACACGACCGGGCGCAGCAATTACGAGCCCGCGAATCCGCTCGCGGGTTTCGAACACTTGCAGCACAACAGCGGCAATCCGTTCGCTGTGGTGCCCTCGTCGTCGGAGGGCCGGTTGCGCGAAACCGGCCCGGAGCCCGACGGCGAGTTGCAGGAATTCGTAGACATCGCTCAGGTACAGCAGCTGCTGCAACAGCAGCAGCAACAGCAACAACATCAACAGCAACACCAACAGCAACAACAACAACAGCAGCAGCAGCAGCAGCAACAGCAGCAGCACCACCATCATCATCATCAGCAACAGGTGGCGGCCGCCGCGGCCGCATCTTGTATCTGGGGAGCGGTTTATCCACCGCCACCGCCTGCACTCGGATACCATCATCATCACCATCATCATCACCATCCACCGCCACCACCTTCAGGTAACGTTCTCGCTTCAATCTGAATCGCTGTATGCCGAGTACGAGGCTTTTCGCCATTGATTTCACGTAGCCGATTCCAAGAGGTGTCTCTCCGAGATGAAGATAGACGATGATTTGTCTAGACGAGTCTAGAGTCTGTAGGAGCTGCTTGAATCTCGAGAAGTCGAACGGTCCACGATACGACACATGGTCTTCTTATCGGGTAGAAGGGATTTCTTTATGGATCGAATACAACGCGAGGATGAATACGGTTCGGCGTGGGCATAGCTGCGCCTGAAGGGAGGTTTTTTTCGTTCGGATCGGATCGGCCAGCCACCTATCGGTACGCGGCAACGCGCTGCTACCGGTATTGGCGCCGATCTAAACACTCGGTGATAATCGATCTTTACGAGCGACACGTCGAAACCTGTATTTCAAGACCAGCTATTAAGTTTCTTGTCACCACTTGAATGTGGCTCCCCAGGTATATCGCGCCAACGTTGACGATGGTGGTGTTCGCCGCGAAACGTCGAACCGCGGACTCTGCGGAGATCCTGTCGCGATTGTCTTTGTCTCGCTGTTCTAAAATACGTTCTAGATTCTCACCGATGTCTCGCAGATTTCTTGCCGGTTTCGTTCGCCTTCGATTGTCGTTTTCGTGGACCAACGGACGTAGTATACAGATGTTCTGTCTTCATTTCTGAGAGAAAAATGACACCTTGGAACCTTCTACGTGATTGTAGGTATTCCCACGGTATTACACGTCTAAATCTGCATTGAAGATTTTAGCATGGACCAATGACTTTTTACAATTCTTTATTCGACTGTATTTTAAGACAGAACGTTGAGAGCAAAAGTGGACTGAAACAGATATACGTAAGCAAAAAAGTATCGTTTCTCACATGTGTTTAGAGGATTTAAAAATTTGTCCACAACTGGAGAATTTAACTTATCCATCCCAATAATTTAATCTTTTTATCCCACAGTTACAAAGAACTTCAATCGAGAAATGTGTCCAATAATTCATTTCGCAAAACGAGTCAGTGCTATAAACTCGCGTTCAGAAAAGAAGTGTGACTCGTTGTCAGTTCACTTTTGCTCTCACTGTCTCAAATAATCGCCTGTTACGTAATTTCGCTTCGCTTGCCAACCCAAAACGCTTTTTGCTTTTCGTGATGTTTGTTGGTGACGGATTCGAATTCGAGTTCGATAAAAAAACGACCACGTATGAGAACGCACGAACGCGCGCGAGCGAAAGATCGACGCGATCTTGCCGTCGGATCGCGAAACTCGCTGGTCCGCCAGCTCTCGCTTGTAGATCGTCCAACGCGAAAGCTTTTACTGGCCGAATAAAAATCGCTTCGTCGATCAACGATCGCGAGTCGATTGTTATTTTATCGAGCAAACTCGAACACGATTGGCGAAATGTTACGACTATCGCGGAGCGAACAGCAAAACTGCAGCAGATAACATTAACGATAACGTTAACCGGTGATTAATTGCGTGATTAACCCTTCGGTCGTAGCTCGCCATTGTTTGCAAAGTGCGAATATACGTGTTCTAATTTTACAAACGTTGACGACTGTTAGAACGAGCAAGCGCGTTTAATGTTGCTCGTTCTATCTCTTTCATCGTTGAACGCGTATGGACTATGCTGTGGAAATGACATGATTGAAGTGGTCGGTTAAACAAAGAAGTGGAAAATTATCGATCGGCGCCGTATGCACGGCCATCTGATCGAAGGATTTTCATTTATACACGGACACGCGTGGGTCAGTTTTGCGTCAAGACGTAGGAGAGTCGATTTTTAAAATTAAACTTAAACTAAGGTACAAAGTGGCGACAGCTTCCGTTGGATGCGGGAAAACTCGGTCCTTCTCAATTAATACGAACGATAAAGGAGCTTGAATTTTAAACTTGAGAAGAAGTATGAAATTTATTTTTTTTAAAACAGTTGTCGTAAACGAGTCTCGGAATAACTTCGCTACACGTGTGAGATACTTTACTTTTAAATGTCGCTTAAGTGTAACATTCGTCACTGAGCGACTTCTTGCATCTTCCGAAGCTACAATCTTTCGATTTATTAATTTTTCTCTCCTTGAAACTAGAGACCATTCTAACGACCATTAATATGCGCGTCACGTGCATATAACATTATCCCACAAACTTGCTTTACTAAGAAACAGTTGTTGAGTCGAGTGTAAGAATGATGCAAAGGCACTCAACAGCTTCCTGGTGCCGCTCGAAATTGAGTGACGAGATTGGTCGAGATTCAATTCACAGAAAATATGGATTTTCTTCATTCGATTCTTAGATGGGACGAGCACCAGGAATTTGAGAGCAACAGGTTTAAATAGGGTGACACGATACACACGATCCACATAGAACTATCGGTACCAGATATACGCGCGTGCACGCATTAGGGGGTTGATGCGAAAGACAGAAGAAAAGAGGTCAGGCAACGCGGTCTTCGATCTTCCGACGCGCTGTAATGTCATTAAGGATCCCGACCGTGACGATTAATGGAAGAGGCTCGATCGTCAGTGGCGGTAAAAAGCCAGCGAAACGAGCTCGGGCGTTGAGCGCGCCATTCAAAGACAATGGCGAGTGATGCTGAGTGCAGCGAGGGGAAAAGACCGCTGCAAATCGTGATTTGCCTCTCAATTTTTAATTAAAATAAATCCTTGGCGCGGACGGCGAGTGTGCTTGATATTCAATATAAATCGAATGCTTTACACTCACAATTATTTTATTATTGATCTAGAGAGCAATCACATCCTTCGTCCTTTACAGAGAGATAATTTTCATGTTTAAAATACTGCAAATCAAACCCATTTGGACAAAATTTTCTTCCGCTTGATCTTTGGGGTCGAATGTAAATTTGTTTCGAGTCCCCATAAAAATGTTTCAAGAAAATCGATTGTCACAATTGTCGTTTGGTTTTTAGACAAATAATTCGTCTTGTTGTTCTATCCGAGTATGATGATTTTCTTTCATTTCGTAAAACATACCGCGGCAGAGGTGAATTTTAATTAATTACGAAGCTAGACGAATGCAACTAATTCAAATTCACAAAAATTTTTAACTTTCTCTTTACGACGGCAATGTATTTGCATTTGTTGTCACTATTTTTTTAGAATTTTCCCTTACTGACTTTGGTCGCCCGTGATTTACACTTTTCGAACAATTTCGAGGGAGAGATCGTAAAGAAAGTGGTAGAGGCGCGATCAGAGATGCCTTTTAGGAGCAAGTTAGGATACTCGAGCGTAGTTTATGTGCGGTGGCTTCGGTGAACCGAAGGGACGACGCCGTTGGCCTGAATTCGTACGAAAAAGAAAGATTAGAAGTATCCGAACGATCCCCCTCCGAGAGGAAACGATTAGGAAGAAGAGCCGTGGACGGTTGTTGTCGGACCACGCCTAACCTTTTCCCTCGCACATAAATGGAATTATATTATTCGTCCCTACACGATGCTTTTCATATGTATAACACAAACGGGAATCTTTATTCGGGAAGTGATTCTTAAACTGGCCGAACCTTAAATTCTTCCGTACGCTTGACACCTTAACCTTCGAACGGGCCAACTGAATATAGATGAAAATAAATATATACGTTGGTAAACACATAATGATGATAATATTTGTAAATATGTAAACCTTCGGTTATTATGTACTGAGAATAATTTGAAAATTTTACATGAAAATTTCTTGCTGAATACGTAGAAAAAAAAAGATGTAAAGTGCAAAGTATAAAATTATCCACTGTCTGAAGAGTTAGTATCACATGTACTATGTTCTATAATTGTTTCGATTTTTATATGTCGCGTTACACATTGTTATTCATTAATGTGACGAGATTGTGCAATTTAAAAAAAGAAAAAGGAAAAATGATAAAATATTAATTTA